AGGGGATCCTGTGGTCTGCCAGCTGGAGAGAGCGGCAGGAGGGAAGGGTTGGCGCGGGCTCTGCCCCTCGGCCGGGCGCTTCTACCTGCGGCCAGCCCCGGTCTCCCGTGCCCGGCCAGCCCTGAGACCCGGCCAGCAGCCGCTGGCGCCGGGCTCTGGAGGGGACAGAAAGCCGGCTGCTGCCCGGGGAGCCGCGGTGCCGGCCCGGCCCGCAGCCCCGCTGGGCCGGGGCTCCATTGGCACCCGGCTCGGGGCCACAGGGGGCTGGAGAAGAAGCCGTGCGGCCCCCGGCTGCAGCAGTGGGCAGAGGCACAGCTGCCAGCCCCACACACTGAGCACCGGGGCCAGGGGGCTTCTCTAGTCTGAGGCTGGCACTTCCAGGCTGTCCTTACCACGAGCTTGGCAAACTTCCACAGCTTCTCCTTCCTGACAGCTTTTTCTAGGTCTGGCCTCTTCAGGAAGTCAGCCGCGCGAAGGAGCGTTGTCCGAGAGGCCTGGGGAGCAGCAGAGAGCCGCAAATGGCCCCACAAGGCAGGGCACAGGAGTGTCCCAGTGCCAAGGGCTGGAGGAGGCTGCAGCCTGCAAGCCTGCGTCAGGGCAGGAGGCAGCTGAGCCCCCTGCCAAGGTGCAGCAGCAGCCCAGGAGTCCTCACCTCTGCCACATGCCGATTCTCATCTTGGCAGTGGAAAAAGAGTGGGAGCAGGCTCTGGTACACTTTTTTCTTTAGGGGCTTTTTTCCTTCTTCTTCTGCCAAAGACAGAAGGAGAGACATGGAGACATGGAGAGCAGCTGCACCTGGCTATCAGGCTGTATGAAAGAAAGGAAGGAAAAATGACCTCATCATTGGCTTCTTCTGGCCCACATTGGCGCAGGCCTGCAAATGCATGGGGCATGAAGTGCCCAGGCAGCAGGCAGTGGCCGTGGCTGGGGCACAGAGCCTTACATTGTCCAGGAGTTTCAGGAGCGGCTCAGCCAGCTGCAGGGCCCTGCGCCAGGATATTGGGGTGTTTTTTTCCAAGAAAATATAGCCAAGGAGAACAATGCTCATCCTGGCCACGTCACTATCAAAGTCCCACAGGAGGTGCAGTAGTCTTCCTGTCAGGCTCTGCATTCTTTCGGCCTGTGCAGAACACAAGTGTGTGAAAGCTCGGGCAGCTGCCGCAGGGCCCAGAGGCCAAAGGCCTGTCCCAAAGCACTCGGGCAGCTGAAGCAGGAGGCAGGAGAGCTGGGAGGAGCTGCCTCAGCTCCCAAGGCAAAGGCTGGCCAAGGCCAAGGGACAGCATTGCCCAGCCTCATGCTGCCCACATGGCTTCAGCTGCTGCCCCCTTCTCACCATGCAGGGATGGTCCCTTAACAGGAGGAGAGCCCTGAGAACCTGGTGATGCATCTCTCTGCAGTTGTACCACAGGTGCTTCGACAAGATAGCCATTAGGCTGTCAGCGCATTCATTCAAGTCCAGGCAATCTAGGAGCTGAAAGGCACAGGGCAGTGAGAGGGGAGCCGGCCGGCAGGAGCCTGGAAGTGCGCAGGGCTGGGCCCAGGCAGCAGCACAGGGCGTGGGTGCCGTCCCAGGCAGCTGTGGCTATGCAAGGGGACAGGGCTGGTAGGGAGCTGAGCGAGGTAGTGCTGGCCATCAGGCTCACCTCCACAAGGAATGCCATGGCAGAGACATCCCAGTGTGGCATTGGTTTGCTGAGCAGCTCAAGCAGTAGCTTAAGATGCTTTTGCACAAGTGGACGGATGCACGGCGCATTACCCTGGAAGGCGGAAAAATGGAACAAAGAGCCTCAGCAAGGGGGAGGAAAGCCTCTCCCAGGACTGATGGACACAGTTGTCATATTGCCCTAGCACCCTGCAAGGGGATGTGGGCCCTTGAGATGTGGCTGCTCCTGGGCACCTTCCTCTCGCAGCCTTTTGCAGTCTCCTTGGCCATTCCTCGGTGACGAGGCCCTCGGTGACGAGGCCCTCAGGCCCATGGCCACGGGGACCGTGGGGGGCATCCCGCCCATGGGGCACAAATGTCAGAGGCAGTGGGGAGAAGGGAGGCTCACCTGGCCAGGAGACCCACAGCATAGTGGTGGGTGTCAGCACAGAGCAGCGTGTCTCAGCCACGCTTGCGTTCTATTGCCACCACCACATGCTCCAAGTGGAGACTGCAGAGCAGGGCCTTCAGGGTCTGCACTGCAAACCTGTGTGCACAACAAAGCCCAGGTGACGCTGGGAGCGCTGGCTCCAAGGCTGGGGAAGTGGCAGGGACAGGAGGAGTGGCATGGAGCACCTGTTGGGGCTGGTGGAGAGGCCATGTTGCTCCTGGCATTCCTTCCTGGTGGAGAGGCCATGTTGCTCCTGGCATTCCTTCCAGAAGGTACGGATGTCCTCTGGCATATACAAAGTACTGAAGTATGTTTGGAAGAGCAGATGCACAAAGACGCGGGGGAAATACACTGTCGGCATCTGTGGGCAACAGGGCCCCTGGAGGATCTTCCACATCACCAGAGTTGCCTGCAGAGGACAAAGCAGCTCGAGACAGCGCTCAGTGCCGGGGCGTCCGTGTGGCAGGGCCTGAGCGTGGCAGGGAGAGGCCGGGGGAGACGCAGGGGGAGCAGCAGTACTGGTGGCCCTGAAGCTGCCCCTAGGCCAGGTTTGTGGCCAGTGCCTGAAGCAGGGAGATGCAGTGGGGGAAGGAGGCAACAGAGCTGCTGGAGAGGCGGCCGGCCTTGCGGTGAGCAAAGGCCAGCTCCAGAAACTCACAGTCAGGGAAAAGACAGCCGTCTTGTCCCCATCAGAGGTGCCCAGGTTTTTCTGCGGCCAGCTCCCCACCACATTGATGAGGAGTGGTGTCACTTCCTCTGCAATCCAGGGCGAGAACAAGATGGTCGTCCACATGGCCATAGCAGCTCTGCGGGGTCAGACACAGCACCGTGGGCTGGACAGCAGTGGGGAGCTGAGCTGGCCGCTAGCTCTGCCTGTGCCCACTGCCCCTCAGCGTCAGCAGCAGCCAGGCAGCCCAGCCCTGTGGGGACAGGCCCCTGAGGGGCAGGCTGGCAGCATGGCAGCAGGCTCTGGGGCAGACTTTGTAGCAGGGCTGGCAAAGGGAGCAGCCAGAGGGCCCTGGAAGTCTGTGTTGCTCACAGCCCTGGGCTGGGCTGTACAGGGTGATGGGCTGGGGAGCCCTGAGGCCTCGGGGCAGCTGGGCCCCATACCTGTCACACGTTGGGGCCACCTGCAGGAGAGTGATGGCCACATCATCGGGCTCTGCCTCGGCCACTTGCATCAGGGCCCAGTCCATCTTGTGCTCAGCAGACTCATTGGCCATGAGCCACTGGTAGATGTGTACCTCACCACAGCGGGCACCTGGAGCAGGCACAGGGAGTCTTAGAATGCTAGCAGAGGGAGTCAGCAATGTCCCCAGCTTCTTCCCCAGACAAGTGGTTCTCTTCCACCACGCTGCCATGGCCTCAAAAGCTTCAAGTGACCAGTAAGAGTGGCTTGGGAAAGCCAAGGAATTGCTGGAGGATCAAAGGCTGGCCACAGGCTGCTTACTTGCTCTGGACTAGAAAGAGCCGTCTCTACAAGCAAATCCAGCTGGGCAGCGCTGCTCTGTTCTTCCAAGACATCTGAGGATGCTTTGACCTCAGTGTCCATGGGACTGGTGTCTTCCTTGCCAATTCTCGTGATGAATTGGTAAAGAAACTGTAGGAGAAGGGCAGGAAGGCAGGGAAGTTGCATGGAGTGCTCCAAGTGCGGTGCTGGGCTGAGCAGTGCCAGCAGGCCCAGCGCAGGTGGGGATGGCTGCAGGTACCTGCGCTGCTCTGCGGAAGCGGCCACGGGCGGTGTCCTGCTCTTGTGTGCCATCCATGGCTGCATCTGGCAAAGAGCAGCCAGAGCTGAGGGGCTGCGGGAGAGGTTGGAGAACACAACCCAGCCCTGCGTTGCCCAGGCAGGGACAGTCCCAGGATGCCCCAGGGGATGCAGCACAGTCGCTGCGGGGAGAGGCAGCCCTGGCCTCTCTTCCATCCTTTCTGTGGCTTTTTCCAGGGGACGCGACGGAACAGGATGGGATGGGGCCAAGCCGGCCACAGGCAGAACCCTGTTGGCCAGCTCTGCCACTAACCCTCCTGCAGTGGCTGGAATGGCTGCACCTCTTCAGTCTCCTGTGATGGGGTAGTTTGAGGGCCTTCTTCCTCCTCTTCAACCCAGGCCAACTTGGGCACTCTCGGGGGTCGCTGCTCCATGGCAGTGACTGGATTTCTGGCTACTTGCAGGAGAGATGCCTGGGAAAAGCTCCGAGTCAGCAAGTCCTGCAGTCGTGCCTGGAAGGCACCTGCAAGACTCAAGTCCGGGCAAGGCTATAGGACAGCAAGTCCTGCAGTCGGCTCTTGAAGGCTCCTGCCACAAGGACAGGAGTCTCCTGGTCAAGGATTTTGGTCTGGCCTCAGGGGCAGTAACTGCAGGGATTGGAGATGCCTCGGACAAGCTCCAAGTCCCCATGTCCTGTGGTGTGGTCCTGAGGTCAGCTGCAGGAATAAGGGCTCAGAAAGGCTCCGGGTCAGACACAAATGAGTGTGCTGTGCAGGGGCCCCTCACAGCACCGCTCTGGTGCATCCTGTCCCGTCGCGTGCACCGAGCACTGTGGCGTGGCCCTGTCACCGCCAGCTCCAATGTCAGCACGTGTCACAAAGGGCCCTTTGACATCTGCTCCCGTTCCCACCATCCCACGGTGACCGTGCTAGGGCCTTTGCACACCCTGCCCTCCGCCCTGGGGCCGCCCCCATCCCCCCCCCAAGTGGCCCAGCTTGGAAGGAATCCCTTGCCCAAAGTGTCTAAGACAGCCTGACGGGATCTTTAGGAACAACTTGTTATAAATTAAATGGAGCCAAATTTATCAATAAGAGTTTCATTGAAAAATTTGTAAAATTTACTCATGGAAATGTCTCGGTTTTGGGAGACAGGTGTCTGCTAGGGATAGGGAGGACAGGAATGAAAAATGTAGACCCCCTCCCTCTGAATTATGATAATCCTGAAACCAAGGGGCTCTCAGGCAGAGATCTGGGGATAGGAATAACAGTTCTTTACTAATATTTATAACAAGGCAAACAAACAACAATAACTACAGTGTTGGCAACAAAACAGAACCAGAGACCCCATGACAGCCTTCTCGGCTGGGATGGGAAAGGATGGAGGAGAGGCTTTGTTTCACAAACCCTCTTGGGTTGGCAGACAGTCCTGGTGTTTCTGCAGGGCTCTGAGGAACACTCAGCTGGAACAGCATTGATGAGCAGAGATCCTGGGCCGGTGGCTGAGGTGGATCAGCAGCTCCGCGGCGGTGGCTAGCACTGCCACATGTCCTGGCAGGACAGGGGGTGTGAGGCCACCAATGAAGAGGGAAGAAGGAGAAGATGCAGCAGCAGCTCCATCTGGGTAATGGATAAATTCCCTTCTCCGCACTGCAACAGCTCTGCGCCCCAAGTATTCTTCTCCGAAGCTGAAGAAAGCCCCCCAAACTGTCCCCACCCTCCCCTGGGCCCTGCCCCCTTCCCACCCTGGGCCCAGCTGAACTCTTTCTCTTTTCACAAGCACCCACCAAGTACCTGCAGTTAAGTTTTCTCTGAAACTAATGGGTAAAAATTCCACAGGCAAGCCAGAACTAAAAAAAAAACACACCTAACTCCCAACAATGTTGTTTTTTGAGCCCAACAGAGCTCAACAAATCTACCAGTTTGAGGTTTTCATATATTTGGGAGTAGGAAAGACTAAGGGTAGTCTTTAGTGTGTTATGTGTGACGCTCAGTCTGATAGTCTAATTTAATGATAATCAATTATTTAATCTAAAGGCTGAATGTGCATCAAAGCACATAAGGATTCACAGTAAATTCTTAGGAGCAAATTCATTAATTCTTTGAAATATTACATGAGTGATAGGAATAATCTCAGGATAATGAAATTTTTGCTGGAGCGAAGTCAGAATAGGCTGCAGGTCCTTGCTGAGAACTCTGCTGTTCTGCCCGTGTCAAAGAGAATGAAAGGATGGACACATTCCCAAGTGGCTGCTCTTGGCTCAGGAACAAGTTCACTTGAAAGATGACAGGGGTAAAATCCCAGTGTTTTGGTTCTAAATAAATAATTACCTATGTGTTTTCCACTGATACATTCATTTCTGAGGGACACTCTTGAAAGATGAAGGGTGGACACGTTGCTTTGGTAGTACATCTAGAGACCTCTCCCCCTTGCAATTTGCTCTCTTTTACCCTTTATTTTTT